CACACACACACACACACACTCACACTCACACACACACACTCACACCACACACACACACACACTCACACACACACACACACACACACACCACACACACACACACACACACACACACACCCACACTCACACCACACACACACACACACACACACACCCCACACACACACACACACACACACACACACACACACACACACACACCACACACACACACACACACACACACACACACACACACACACACACACACACACACACACACACACACACACACCACACACACACACACACACACACACACCTCCTGGGCCACACCCTGGCCAATACCACACACACACACACTCACACACACACACACACACACACACACACACACACACACACACACACACGAGACCACCACCAGTGTGTGTGTGTGTTGTTACAGACTGGCTTGTCCTAGATTGTGTTGAACCATATTTCATCACTCTGGTAACAGTAACAAATAACAAGGTCGCCAATGAAACTAGTAAATGAAAGTAATAAGCAATACACTAGAGTAAATTAAAATTCAAAATCATTTAAACACAGAATAAAGTCTCTGATAAGTACCAACAAACGAATCAAAAGATTAGTTTACAAGTATTAACCGATTTGAGAATATTCACAACTCGGCAGACAAACAAGTTACGTTAGTCATACTTACAGTGACAAGTGAGGAAACAATAACGAGGGTTTGGGGGCCACCACCAATGCAATACAAAGAAGATTAGATAACGCCATCGTTCTTTAACTGTACAGTCAACCCTCACTTTACGCGGTTAATGTAACCCACAGGGTACCGCGGAAAGTGAAGTGAGAAACGCGTAAAGTGAATAACATAACATATGGGATTAAATGAAATAGAGACCAGCTGACCCCCAAACTCCACTTTTTCCGACACAATACCTATGTTCTAGTAAAAATAACATCTTAATTTTATGATGGTACATGCACACAATTAATACTTAAGAGAAATAGAGAAATACAGTCGCCAAGTTAATGTCCATTCAAATAATGGAATCGACTCCCTCCCCCTCTTCTCACATTACACTGCTGGCTCTTCCCTCTGAGAAATTTTGGGGGGAAATCCAGGTATAGTAATAAATAATACCTCAAACTAAAGGTAGGATAATATAATTGACATTGCTGGATTCCTTGTAAGACCAGGAATATTTTGAATATATATGTCATATATTTTTCACAAAAGATAGCATATTTACTCAGAGTAAACATTACATCTAAAATTTGTATGTCTAATGCAAAATCTATGATGTTTATATTCAAAATGATCATCAAATTGTAAGAATTCCAGCAATGTAAATTATATTCTGGCCTGGTAATTTGTATGAATTTTATGAGCTAAAACAAATATCTTCAGTTAATAACAAAAAAAAAATATTCTTCACGACACTATCTGTCAATCAAAGTACCCCACCTTGCCTCCCCCCCTCTTCCAACCCCGCGGTCAGTCCCAACCCTCCCCCCACCTCCCACCAACCCTCCCTTCAAGAGAAAGAGTGGGTGAAAAAACTAGATTTTAACATTTAGTATTAAATAATACCTCAGATTAAAGTTAGGATAATATAATTGACATTGCTGGATTCCTTGTAAGACCAGGAATAATTTGAATATAAATGTCATATATTTTGCACAAAAGATAACATATTTACTCAGAGTATACATTATATCTAAAAATTTTATGTCTAATGCAAAATATATGATGTTTATATTCAAAATGATCATCAAATTGTAAGAATTCCAGCAATGTAAATTATATTCTGGCCGGGTAATTTGTATGAATTTTATGAGCTAAAATAAAAATCTTCAGTTAATAAAAAAAAAAAAATTCTTCACACGGTAACAGATGGCCGGTCCCTCCCTCCCTCCCCCCACCCCCCACCAACCGTCCCTACTAGATAAATGTGTGGGAATACCAGACTGTTTGCCTTTTTAGTAATAAATAATAAATCAGACTAAAGTTAGGATAATATAATTGACATTGCTGGATTCCTTGTAAGACCAGGAATATTTTGAATATAAATGTCATATATTTTGCACAAAAGATAACATATTTACTCAGAGTAAACATTATATCTAAAATTTGTATGTCTAATGCAAAATATATGATGTTTATATTCAAAATAATCATCAAATTGTAAGAATTCCAGCAATGTAAATTCTATTCTGGCCGGATAATTTGTATTAATTTTATGAGCTAAATAAAAAAATTATACTTCACCCGTGTAAAGGGGTACACCCACCGCGGAATGTGAGCATCCTGGGTTCTGGCAGGGCACCGCGTAAACGTGGAAATGCGGAATGTGGGACCGCGTAAAGTGAGGGTTGACTGTATATTGTTACAAAATTTAATACCTAGTACACAATATTATATCCTACACAATACAGTGGTCCCTCGGTTAACGAGCACAATCCGTTCCAGCAGGTTGCTCGTTAACCGAAAAACTCGTTAACCGAAACCATTGTTTGAATGGGTTTTTGGGTAATTGGTTCCAGCTCACCGAAAATTGCCTAAATTCAACAAAAAAGGTAGAAAAGTATGTAGAAGGCTCCTGGATGATGATGATGATGGGAATTAGAATGGGGGTGGAGGAGAAGGGAGAAGAGAAGGCATTGGGGTGGAAGAGAAGTCACCCCATGGCACCATTTCACCCATAAAATTTTAGTTCTCTTGGTGTAATTCAAGATTATTTTCTTTAAATCAACACTGCACTGCGTTATATATTGTCAATATGTAAAATAAATTTCAAAATGACCAATAATTTGCTTGGAAACACAGAAAAAAAGCATTTAGTTGAAGAGAGTCTCAAGCAAGATGTTACCTCCACTGAAAACAGAGAGAGACTAACGCCTGTCTGGTGTGTTAACAAGCTGGATGGCACGCCAGAAACTAGTTTCTTTACCTTCAATTATGTTCAATAATTGTTAAAATGACTAAAAAAGTTAATATTAAGCTTTTAAAATTATTGAATAGTATAAACTTCTTGATATTTACTAAAATAGTAAGGAATTTAAGCCCTAAAACCGATAACTGTATTGGCAGACTAATACTACAGCTGGTGGACCGCCAAATGCAAGCGAAAACATGTTGAGGTCGACTCGTAAAAAACTCGTTAACCGAAGTTAAGAATCTTATGGAAGGTAAATCGTTAACCGAGGCGCTCGTTAACCTAGGGATCACTGTATTATATCCTACATAATATTATATCCTACATAATATTATATCCTACATAATATTATATCCTGCACAATATTATATCCTACACAATATTATATCCTACACACAATATTATATCCAACACAATATTATATCCAACACAATATTATATCCTACACAATATTATATCCAACACAATATTATATCCAACACAATATTATATCCTACACAATATTATATCCAACACAATATTATATCCAACACAATATTATATCCTACACAATATTATATCCAACACAATATTATATCCAACACAATATTATATCCAACACAATATTATATCCAACACAATATTATATCCAACACAATATTATATCCAACACAATATTATATCCTACACAATATTATATCCTACACAATATTATATCCAACACAATATTATATCCAACACAATATTATATCCAACACAATATTATATCCAACACAATATTATATCCAACACAATATTATATCCTACACAATATTATATCCTACACTATATTATATCCAACACAATATTATATCCAACACAATATTATATCCAACACAATATTATATCCTACACAATATTATATTCAACACAATATTATATCCAACACAATATTATATCCAACACAATATTATATCCAACACAATATTATATCCAACACAATATTATATCCAACACAATATTATATCCAACACAATATTATATCCATATCCAACACAATATTATATCCTACACAATATTATATCCAACACAATATTATATCCAACACAATATTATATCCAACACAATATTATATCCAACACAATATTATATCCAACACAATATTATATCCAACACAATATTATATCCTACACAATATTATATCCTACACAATATTATATCCAACACAATATTATATCCAACACAATATTATATCCAACACAATATTATATCCAACACAATATTATATCCAACACAATATTATATCCTACACACAATATTATATCCTACACACAATATTATATCCTACACAATATTATATCCAACACAATATTATATCCTCCACTCAATATTATATCCTACACACAATATTATATCCAACACAATATTATATCCAACACAATATATCCTACACAATATTATATCCTACACAATATTATATCCTACACAATATTATATCCTACACAATATTG